TGTAGTGTGTAATAGTGTGTAGACAGTATGTGTAATGTATAGTAGTGTGTAGGACAGTATGTGTAATGTGTAGTAGTGTGTAGACAGTATGTGTAATGGTTAGTAGTGTGTAGACAGTGTGGTGTAGTGTGTAAGTAGTGTGTAGACATTATGTGTAGTGTGTAGTAGGGGTTAGACAGTATGTGTAATGTATAGTAGTGTAGACAGTGTGTAATGTAATAGTGTGTAGACAGTATGTGTAGTGTGTAGTAGTGTGTAGACAGTATGTGTAATGTGTAGTAGTGTGTAGACAGTATGTGTAGTGTGTAGACAGTGTGTGTAGTGTGTAGCAGTGTGTAGACAGTATGTGTAGTGTGTAGTAGTGTGTAGACAGTATGTGTAGTGTGTAGTAGTGTGTAGACAGTATGTGTAGTGTGTAGTAGTGTGTAGACAGTATGTGTAATGTGTAGTAGTGTGTAGACAGTATGTGTAGTGTGTAGTAGTGTGTAGACAGTATGTGTAGTGTGTAGTAGTGTGTAGACAGTGTGTGTAGTGTGTAGTAGTGTGTAGACAGTATGTGTAATGTATAGTAGTGTGTAGACAGTGTGTGTAATGTATAGTAGTGTATAGACAGTGTGTGTAGTGTATAGTAGTGTGTAGACAGTATGTGTAATGTGTAGTAGTGTGTAGACAGTATGTGTAGTGTGTAGTTGTAGTGTGTTGTAGACCAGTATGTGTGTGTGTAGTAGTGTGTAGACAGTATGTGTAATGTGTAGTAGTGTGTAGACAGTATGTGTAGTGTGTAGTAGTGTGTAGACAGTATGTGTAGTGTGTAGTAGTGTGTAGACAGTATGTGTAATGTGTAGTAGTGTGTAGACAGTATGTGTAATGTGTAGTAGTGTGTAGACAGTATGTGTAGTGTGTAGTAGTGTGTAGACAGTATGTGTAGTGTGTAGTAGTGTGTAGACAGTGTGTGTAATGTGTAGTAGTGTGTAGACAGTATGTGTAGTGTGTAGTAGTGTGTAGACAGTGTGTGTAGTGTGTAATAGTGTGTAGACAGTATGTGTAGTGTGTAGTAGTGTGTAGACAGTGTGTGTAATGTGTAGTAGTGTGTAGACACTGTGTGTAATGTGTAGTAGTGTGTAGACAGTATGTGTAATGTATAGTAGTGTGTAGACAGTGTGTGTAGTGTGTAATAGTGTGTAGACAGTGTGTGTAGTGTGTAGTAGTAGTGTACACAGTATGTGTAGTGTGTAGTAGTGTGTAGACAGTGTGTGTAGTGTGTAATAGTGTGTAGACAGTATGTGTAGTGTGTAGTAGTGTGTACACAGTATGTGTAGTGTGTAGTAGTGTGTAGACAGTGTGTGTAGTGTGTAATAGTGTGTAGACAGTATGTGTAGTGTGTAGTAGTGTGTAGACAGTGTGTGTAATGTGTAGTAGTGTGTAGACAGTATGTGTAATGTATAGTAGTGTGTAGACAGTGTGTGTAGTGTGTAATAGTGTGTAGACAGTATGTGTAGTGTGTAGTAGTGTGTAGACAGTATGTGTAGTGTGTAGTAGTGTGTAGACAGTATGTGTAATGTGTAGTAGTGTGTAGACAGTATGTGTAATGTGTAGTAGTGTGTAGACAGTATGTGTAATGTATAGTAGTGTGTAGACAGTGTGTGTAATGTGTAGTAGTGTGTAGACAGTGTGTGTAGTGTGTAGTAGTGTGTAGACAGTATGTGTAATGTGTAGTAGTGTGTAGACAGTATGTGTAATGTGTAGTAGTGTGTAGACAGTGTGTGTAGTGTGTAGTAGTGTATAGACAGTATGTGTAGTATAGTGTGTAGACAGTATGTGTGTGTAGTAGTGTATAGACAGTATGTGTAGTGTGTGTAGTGTGTAGACAGTATGTGTAATGTATAGTAGTGTGTAGACAGTATGTGTGATGTGTAGTAGTGTGTAGACAGTATGTGTAATGTGTAGTAGTGTATAGACAGTGTGTGTAATGTGTAGTAGTGTATAGACAGTATGTGTAATGTGTAGTAGTGTGTAGACAGTATGTGTAATGTGTAGTAGTGTGTAGACAGTGTGTGTAGTGTGTAGTAGTGTATAGACAGTGTGTGTAGTGTGTAGTAGTGTGTAGACAGTATGTGTAATGTGTAGTAGTGTGTAGACAGTATGTGTAGTGTGTAGTAGTGTGTAGACAGTATGTGTAGTGTGTAGTAGTGTGTAGACAGTATGTGTAATGTGTAGTAGTGTGTAGACAGTATGGTAATGTGTAGTAGTGTAGACAGTATGTGTAGTTGTAGTAGTGTGTAGACAGTATGTGTAATGTTAGTAGTGTGTAGACAGTATGTGTGTGTGTAGTGTGTAGACAGTGTGTGTAATGTGTAGTAGTGTATAGACAGTGTGTAATGTTAGTAGTGTGTAGACAGTATGTGTAATGTATAGTAGTGTGTAGACAGTATGTGTGATGTGTAGTAGTGTAGACAGTGTGTGTAATGTGTAGTGTATAGACAGTGTGTGTAATGTATAGTAGTGTGTAGACAGTATGTGTGATGTGTAGTAGTGTGTAGACGTATGTGTAATGTGTAGTAGTGTGTAGACAGTATGTGTAGTGTGGTAGTGTGTCAGTATGTGTAATGTGTAGTATGTGTAGACAGTGTGTGTAATGTAGTAGTGTGTAGACAGTATGTGTAGTGTGTAATAGTGTGTAGACAGTGTGTGTAATGTGTGTAGTGTAGACAGTAGTGTAGTGTGTAGTAGGTGTAGCCAGTATGTGTATGTGTAGCAGTGTGGTAGACAGTAGTGTAGTGTGTAGTAGTGTGTAGACAGTATGTGTAATGTGTAGTAGTGTGTAGACAGTATGTGTAATGTATAGTAGTGTGTAGACAGTATGTGTATGTGTAGTCGTGTGTAGCAGTATGTGTCATGTGTAGTAGTGTGTAGACAGTATGTGTAGTGTGTAGTAGTGTGTAGACAGTATGTGTAGTCGTGTAGTATGGTGTAGACAGTATGTGTAATGTGTAGTCGTGTGTAGACAGTATGTGTAATGTGTAGCAGTGTGTAGACAGTATGTGTAATGTGTAGTAGTGTGTAGACAGTATGTGTAATGTGTAGTAGTGTGTAGACAGTATGTGTACTGTGTAGTAGTGTGTAGACAGTATATGTAATGTATAGTAGTGTGTAGACATTGTGTAATGTATAGTAGTGTGTACACATTGTGTATTGTATAGTAGTGTGTACACATTGTGTAATGTATAGTAGTGTGTAGACATTGTGTAATGTATAGTAGTGTGTAGACATTGTGTAATGTATAGTAGTGTGTACACATTGTGTAATGTATAGTAGTGTGTACACACTGTGTATTGTATAGTAGTGTGTACACATTGTGTAATGTATAGTAGTGTGTAGACATTGTGTAATGTATAGTAGTGTGTACACATTGTGTAATGTATAGTAGTGTGTACACATTGTGTATTGTATAGTAGTGTGTACACATTGTGTAATGTATAGTAGTGTGTACACATTGTGTATTGTATAGTAGTGTGTACACATTGTGTAATGTATAGTAGTGTGTACACATTGTGTATTGTATAGTAGTGTGTACACATTGTGTAATGTATAGTAGTGTGTACACATTGTGTATTGTATAGTAGTGTGTACACATTGTGTATTGTATAGTAGTGTGTACACATTGTGTAATGTATAATAGTGTGTAAACAGTATGTGTAATGTATAGTAGTGTGTACACATTGTGTATTGTATAGTAGTGTGTACACATTGTGTAATGTATAGTAGTGTGTAGACAGTATGTGTAATGTATAGTAGTGTATAGACAGTATGTGTAGTAGTGTGTAGACATTGTGTAATGTATAGTAGTGTGTACACATTGTGTAATGTATAGTAGTGTGTAGACAGTATGTGTAATGTATAGTAGTGTATAGACAGTATGTGTAGTAGTGTGTAGACATTGTGTAATGTATAGTAGTGTGTACACATTGTGTATTGTATAGTAGTGTGTATACATTGTGTATTGTATAGTAGTGTGTACACATTGTGTAATGTATAGTAGTGTGTACACAGTATGTGTAGTGTGTACACATTGTGTAATGTATAGTAGTGTGTAGACAGTATGTATAGTAGTGTGTACACATTGTGTAATGTATAGTAGTGTGTAGACAGTATGTATAGTAGTGTGTACACATTGTGTAATGTATAGTAGTGTGTACACATTGTGTAATGTATAGTAGTGTGTACACATTGTGTATTGTATAGTATATGCATGTTGAGTGCAGTATAAGCGTGTATATCTTACACACAAGCACAGCATGTACGAGTACAAATCGTGTGTGTAGATTTAACACAATCCACACACACCAACTTTGACACAAACTCATTGTATGTGTGTAGACACCGTTTGTTAAGCTGTGTTACACTGCACATGCAATAAAAACTCTGTGTTCATCACGCAAACAGCGTACATGTGTACGATGCACAGCTGCACATTGTGTGTACGCAACGACGATGATAATGATGATGATTATGATGATAAAAATGCAATAATCGCAGCAAAACGAACCATCCCAGATGCTTTAACGTGTCCATGAACGGAGCAAAAACGCACAGCGGAACAACGGGAACTCGTCCGCGGGTTTCGCGACGCGCACATTCGCGCGCGAGAGAATTTGCAAATTTTTAATTTAAAAAACTAAAATTTTTTTAAAAAACTTCCGCCGATGTTTGCCATCTTACGAAGACGCCGATTTTAAACGCGCACGTGTTTTTTTTGTTGTGTTGGCGGACGTGAATTAACTCGAATGGAATGTATTGACTGGGGAGGGCTGGTGCTTTGACGGCGAATCTGCGAGTAGAGAACAAAGCGGAGAAGCTCCGTGCCGGCGTCAGTCGAGAATCCACGTGGGTCGCGCGTGTGACACCCCCAGGCGAATACAGTGCGGATACAGTAGTACAGTGCTGGTACAGTGAGGGGGACAGTGAGGGTACAGTGAGTACAGTGCGTGGTACAGTGAGGGTGACAGTGAGGAGGCAGTGCGGGTACAGTGAGGGTGACAGTGCGGGGGCGGTGAGGGGTACAGTGGCGGGTACAGTGAGGGGACAGTGAGTACAGTGAGGGGTACAGTGAGTGGTACAGTGAGTGGTACAGTGAGTGGTACAGTGAAGGGTACAGTGAGTGGTACAGTGAAGGGTACAGTGAGTGGTACAGTGAAGGGTACAGTGAGTGGTACAGTGAGAGGGCAGTGCGGGGTACGTTGACTACAGTGAGGGTACAGTGAGTACAGTTCCCGGTACAGTGCGCGGGACAGTGCGTTGTACAGTACGTTGTACAGTACGCGGTACAGTGCGCGTGAACCGGGGCTCCTCCCCCCCCCCCCGTCTCTTCCCTCTAGGTCGCCTCGGCCTCAAACGAGGACCTGGCGCGGTACGTAACCAGCATCGTTGCCGAGGGAGACAAAGACGGTCGGGCTCGGTTGCTGGGCACTTGCCCCAGCAGTCTGTTACGGGCTACACGGGGGGTCTTTGTCTTTGTGGGAGCGGTGGTGCAGCGGTTAGCGCCCGAGTTCGATTCCCGCCGATAACCAGGTTGTCGATAATTATCTGAACCGGTTCCTGGGCCTCCGCCTAGGTCGCCTCAGCCTCAAATCGATAAGTAAACATCGCCACAGGCTACACGGGTGATCTTTGTCTTTGTGGGAGCGGTGGTGCAGCGATTAGCGCACGAGTTCGATTCCCGCCGATAACCAGGTTGTCGATAATTCTCTGAATCGGTTCCTCGGCCTCCGCCTAGGTCGCCTCAGCCTCAAATCGATAAGTAAACATCGCCACAGGCTACACGGGGGATCTTTGTCTTCGTGGGAGCGGTGGTGCAGCGGTTAGCGCCCGAGTTCGATTCCCACCGATAACCAGGTTGTCGATAATTCTCTTGAACCGGTTCCTGGGCCTCCGCCTAGGTCGCCTCAGCCTCAAATCGATAACTCGGCGAGATGTGTTAGTGTTCGTGATTTCAAGGATCAATACGTCGTAATAAAATCAATACATTACATTTAATTTATTTTATTTTTACATGTAATTTATTAGATTGTATACCTACGTGCTTTTAATGAAATAACCAAAGAGTTTGTGTGTTCTGTACTCTTTCGCCAACACGATAATTATTTAATCCGTAATTGTGTGCTGCACGATACGGTAACTTTAGTGGCTTGGAAGCTTTCGTGAGTGCAGGTTCTTTTTTATATTTTCGCCCTTATTTACTGAAGAAGACCGCTTGTGTTGCGATTTAAAGCTTCTTTCGTGACTGCAGGGATTCATCTTCTTGATTCTTTCGGTAAAGTCACGTAGAAGGGAAATAATAAAATAATAAAAATTAAACATAATAACATAATAAAAATAAAACATAATAAAATAATAAAAATAAAACATAATAAAATAATAAAATAAAACATAAAATAATAAAATAAAACATAATGAAATAATATAAATAAAACAATAAAATAATAAAAATAAAACATAATAAAATAATACAAATAAAACATAATAAAATAATAAAATAAAACATAATAAAATAATAAAAATAAAACATAATAAAATAATAAAAATAAACATAATAAAATAATAAAAATAAAACATAATAAAATAATAAAAATAAAACATAATAAAATAATAAAAATAAAACATAATACAATAATAAAAATAAAACGTAATAAAATAATAAAAAATAAAACGTAATAAAATAATAAAAATAAAACATAATAAAATAATAAAAATAAAACATAATAAAATAATAAAAATAAAACATAATAAAATAATTAAAATAAAACATAATAAATTTCGATTTAAAGCTTCTTTCGTGACTGCAGGGATTCATCTTCTTGGTTCTTTCGGTAAAGTCACGTAGAAGGGAAATAATAAAATAATAAAAATAAAACATAATAAAATACAATTCTCACGACGTTTCGGCCACAACGCAAGCAGCCGTCCTCAGGTGGAGAACAGGTCTGTCTCATTCAGACGCTGTCTTTCCGACAGACTGTTCTTCACCTGAAGACGGCTGCTTGCGTTGTGGCCGAAACGTCGTGAGAATTATTTATTATGTTTTATTTTTATTATTTTATTATTTCCCTTCTACGTGACTTTACCGAAAGAACCAAGAACAAATATCGAAACGTCGTGGGGTTTTTTGTTATTTTTTGTTGTTATTTTTATTTGAAGCTATCTACGTGACTTTACCGAAAGAACCAAGAATATGCGGTGACTTCTTTCGCACCGTACGTAGCCGACCGTGGTAATCTGAGGTGTGGTTGGGTAACCAGGGGAACGGGGACCTCAGTAACCAAGGGAACGGGGACCTCAGTAACCAAAGGAACGGGGACCTTGGTAACCAGGGGAACGGGGACCTTGGTAACCAAGGGAACGGGGATATTGGTTCTGAGTTGGTCTGTAATAAGGTAGGGTACTGATAAGGGGTTGACAGGTTTGTAGTGGTGAGTGTAGTGGTGGTGAGTGTAGTGGTGAGTGTAGTGGTGGTGAGTGTACTAGTGAGTGTAGTGGTGAGTGTAGTGGTGGTGAGTGTAGTGGTGGTGAGTGTAGTGGTGAGTGTAGTGGTGGTGAGTGTAGTGGTGAGTGTATTGGTGGTGAGTGTAGTGGTGAGTATAGTGGTGAGTGTATTGGTGAGTGTGATGGTGGTGAGTGTAGTGGTGAGTGTAGTGGTGAGTGTAGTGGTGGTGAGTGTAGTGGTGAGTGTAGTGGTGAGTGTAGTGTGAGTGAGTGGTGGTGAGTGTAGTGGTGAGTGTAGTGGTGAGTGTAGTGGTGGTGAGTGTAGTGGTAGTGTAGTGGTGAGTATAGTGGTGAGTGTGGTGGTGGTGAGTGTAGTGGTGAGTGTAGTGGTGAGTGTGGTGGTGGTGAGTGTAGTGGTGAGTGTGGTGGTGAGTGTGGTAGTGAGTGTGGTGGTGAGTGTGGTGGTGAGTGTAGTGGTGAGTGTAGTAGTGGTGAGTGTAATGGTGAGTGTAGTGGTGGTGAGTGTAGTGGTGAGTGTAGTGGTGAGTGTAGTGGTGAGTGTAGTAGTGGTGAGTGTACTAGTGAGTGTAGTGGTGAGTGTACTAGTGAGTGTAATGGTGAGTTTAGTGGTGAGTGTACTAGTAGTGAGTGTAGTGGTGATTGTACTAGTGGTGAGTGTACTAGTGGTGAGTGTAGTGGTGAGTGTAGTGGTGAGGTGTAGTGGTAAGTGTAGTAGTGGTGAGTGTAGTGGTGAGTGTACTAGTGGTGAGTGTACTAGTGAGTGTAGTGGTGAGTGTAGTGGTGAGTGTACTAGTGGTGAGTGTACTAGTAGTGAGTGTAGTGGTGAGTGTAGTAGTGATTGTACTAGTGGTGAGTGTACTAGTGGTGAGTGTACTAGTGGTGAGTGTAGTGGTGAGTGTAGTAGTGATTGTACTAGTGGTGAGTGTAGTGGTGAGTGTACTAGTGGTGAGTGTACTAGTGGTGAGTGTACTAGTGGTGAGTGTACTAGTGAGTGGTAGTGGTGAGTATACTAGTGGTGAGTGTAGTAGTGGTGATTGTCTATTTGTTTGTGTTTCTGCCCTTGTGATGGCACGTTTTAGGATGAACGTTGGGATGTATAAGAGACACGTGGTGACCAACACGATCTGAATTTATCTGTAACAAGGTGACAGGAGGTTGACAGCAAGTGCAGTCGCCACACTGCTAACGGAGAGTTTTGAATTTTCCATTTTGTGCATCACCAGGGCATCCGCGTCGACTGCCTCTACGGCTTGTGCCGTGGTTGATGCGATTTAGGACGGATCTGTGAGCGGCTTCGTGGAAGATCAACCCCCAAGGCGCGGATTCTCCGGCTGTTGGCTCTTCGAGACGGTGAGATCGTTCGGCAAAGTAATTGCGGCGTCCGATCGAAACCCAAGTCTCGCCCGTGCGTTGTCGCGCACGGAAGCTGGCCATACTCTTAGGTTTTTTTTCCGGTAAAGTCACGTAGGTAAAAATTATTTTTAAATTAATAAAAAGATTTAGAGAAATTTTCACTGAAGCCACAGGTCCTGAACTCCTTAGTGATAATTCTAGATTTGAAGCTTTCGTGACTGCAAGGATTCATATTCTTAGGTTTTTTTTTCCGGTAAAGTCACGTAGGTAAAACATTCAAATTAATAAAAATAAAATAAAAATCACGACGTTTCGGAAGCAACACAAGCTTCCGTCTTCAGGTGGAACCGTCACAGCCACGACAGCTGTATTAAGTAAATGAGAGATTACAAGAGCTACCACTCCGTATATATAATGGTTGAGGGGGAAAGGGCCAGGAACGGCACACTTTTTATTAATATGGTAAGGTGAGGCTTAAGACTAAGAGTAGACTGCATAACATTTACTCGTATGTGCACGTGTGTGTGTGTGTTTGTGGGGAGCGGTAGTGCAGCGGTTAGCGCGCTGCGCTATGAACCTGGCGACCCGGGTTCGATTCCCGCTCACGGCCAACACCCAGTGACGATTATCTGAACCGGTCCTGGGCCTCCCCTTGGTCGACTCAGCCTGAAATGAGTACCCGGTGCGGTGTGTAAACATTGCCACTGGGGAGACAAAGGCGGTCGGGCGTGGTGCTGGCCACCCACCCCCTCGTGTGCCGTGCCGGCCTTCATAAGTGCTCGCTAACAGCACTTGCCCCAGCAGTATATTAAGGCTATACGGGAGATCTTTGATATTTGTGTTTGTGAGCCCGGGGAGTTTCTTTTCCGAAGATCGATGCGAATTTTTCTTGGTGGCTGTGGGTTGCCCAGCCCCTTGAGACTCGTTGTGTTGTTCCGTCCGCTTTTCACCCTCGCCCCTGTCCCTCCATCGTCTGGCTCTCCTGGCAAATTGGCTCCCAGGCGACGCAGCGGACGTCCCCATTAGTGTCCTGGGGAAGGAGGAAAAAAAAAGTTTGGGTAGAAATATTAGTAGCTACGAATGGAACCCCTAATACGTGCCATCATGGGGATGTCGTTTTTTTTAAAATCCTTTATATTAAGTTCACTTGCTTGCTTATGACCGTGCAAATCTTTCGGTCGTTTTTTAACCCACTTCCCGTGATCCAATCGAGCTGACATTTTGCACACAGACTCGTTGTGCGTGACAATTAATGTTCGTAAAAATTTTTTTCCAAAATTTTACACCTTTTAGGACAAAAATATTATATTTAATTACCAATTGCTTAATGGTGCAATGCAATCATCTGACCCATAGGTGGCAGCCATCTCAAGCCAGAGGACGAGAGGACTCTAGCCGCCACGCATATAAAGGATTTATAGTGAAAACTTTGTTTTTACGGGTTATACTTGTTTTACTTTACGTGAGATCAGCACTTTCAATGGCCACCGTCATTTGGCAATTTTATTTGGCGCACGAGACGTTTTCAGAGGTCAATGTGTCACCGCTGCATTAATGCCTTTGCTGAATAATTGGCGTGTACGGTTTGTCTACATCAGACCAAGGTGTCCTGAAACGTCCCCTCATAAAGCAGGTAAAACGCCACGATTCATTATTTTCCAAAGAGACCAGGTTTTTTTTGTTGCATATATATAGTGTCCGCGTGTTTTTGTTAAAAACCATCAGACCACTCCATTGCGAATCATTAAAGATTAGGGGGGAAGGGGGGGGAGAAAGCCCGGACTCAAAAAATCTTTGGCAGGCAGCAGGCGGCAACGGCTTCCTTTTCCCGCAAATGCGCCCACGTGTTCAGCGAAGCCCCGTGGTGTCGTCGCCCCCTTTCATCGAGCGACAAATGTTGACACGTGGCCCACTCGTGTCGCAGGGCCGTACCCCCAACCATGAGCGCAGCAGCAGCAGCAGGAGCAGCAGCAGGAGCAGCAGCAGGAGCAGCAGCAGCAGCAGGAGTCTCCGACAGCGGCTCGGACCAGAGCGGAGCGGCGAGCCCGGGCGGTGGAGTGCATCCCGCGTCCACGGACGACGCAACGCACGAAAGTCCAGGGAGCGCGAGCGAAGGGGACGTGACAGTCGGAGGAGGAGGAGGGGAGGAGGACGACGAGGAGGAGGAGGAGGTGGACGCCGCAAAGGACGAGGTGCCCAGGCTGCGACGGTGCTCGTACGAGGGCTGCGCCGAAACGACGGCTCGCTCCGCGCGGCAGGCCGGGCAGCTCACCGCCACCGGCAGCCACCACCACCACGCGGCGTGGATGTGTAAGAAGCACAAGAACAAGGCGTACAAGGCCAAGTTCAAGACCAAGAAGAATTTCTCGGCTGGCGGAGCGAGCGACGGAGGCGCCAAGGTTGGTCCGTGGTTTAGGAGGCTGGCTTCTTTGGGGCTGAGTCGACCTAGGGGAGGCCCAGTACCCGGTTCGAATATTCGGACTGTTGATGATTGGTTTTTTACCCTTTTATCTGGCAACAAAACTGACGCCTTTTTTTTTTACAAGGAGTTATGTTTGCATAGACCACAAAACCTGCAGTGGTAGTGCAAACAAAAAACTCTGATAATGTATGCACTGTCCTTGAAGTTGATTGGTCCACACCCGAGACAGCTTTCCTTAGAGCCTAGTCTCACATGGTGTTGGACCAGATGACGCCCAAAGGGTGATTGTGTGCCTGGGTAATTGTGTGTCTGGGTGCGTGGGTGACTGGGTGACTGGGTGATTGTGTGTCTGGGTGCGTGGGTGACTGGGTGACTGGGTAATTGTGTGTCTGGGTACCTGGGTGACTGGGTAATTGTGTGTCTGGGTGCGTGGGTGACTGGGTGCGTGGGTGACTGGCTGCCTGGATATCTGGGTGACTGAGTGAGGCGTGCGTTGTGTCTGCTGCCAGGACAAGAAGGACCTGGCGACGGCTCAGCAGCGACGGGGCACCCCCATCAAGGAGCCGCCCGTTGGACGCAAGGCCACGCTGCTCGAGTGCGTGCTCAACCAGAAACGGCAGGCACGTGACCTGCACGGGACGCTCGTGACACCGTAGTCACCCACGCACACAGTCACCCAGATATCCAGGCAGCCAGTCACCCAGTCACCCACGCACCGAGGCACACAATTACCCAGGCTCCCAATTACTCAGTCACACAGTCACCCATTCACCCAGGCACTCATGCACACAGTCACCCAGATATCCAGGCAGCCAGTCACCCAGGCAGTCAGTCACCAAGGCACCCAGGCACACAATTACCCAGTCACCCATTCACCCAGGCATCCAGACACACAATTACCCAGGCACACAGTCACCTTTTCACCCAGGCACACAATCACCCAGTCACCCAGACATCCCATTGAGTAGCGAGTTGCAGTAATCGAGCCTTGCCTATACGACGCTACACGCCACCGTGTTGGCCATGTCACGACTCAATAGAGGTTGAATGTGTTGTAGGGCCTCTGGTATAAACAATTGCAGGACTTGGCGATGTTTTCCACGTGGTAATCAAACGAGGTATTCTGGTCGAGTTTGGTGCCGGGGGGAGGGGGGGGCCCTCTTTAGGTACGAGTAGAAAACCGAATCCTGGGGGAGGGGGGCGGGGGGGTGTCTGCGACCACCACGCACGCTGCCCCCCCCCCCCCCCCCCCCCCCCGGAACACAGAGACAATTTCAACCGAGAAGATGGATTCCGGCTTAGCAATCATTGGAAGGTTTTGATGAACCATTTCGGGTCTTAATTGATTCGGACCGCATTCCATTTTCTACTCCCCCCCCTCCTCTTTTCCGAACATAGATGGACTTGTTCATCTGGCCAACTGCCAAATCGCTGTCCTTGGTGCTGACCGTTAGGACCAACCGCCACTTTTTAAATCCTTTATATTAAGTTCGCTTGCTTGCTTGCGCGCTTACGACCGTGCAAATCTTTCGGTCGTTTTTTAACCCACTTCCCGTGATCCAATCGAGCTGACATTTTGCACACAGACTCGTTGTGCGTGACAATTAATGTTCGTGAAAAATTTTTTCCAAAATTTTACACTTTTTAGGGAAAACAAATTAAATATTTAATTACCACTTGCTTAATACTGGCAGACAATCATCTGACCCATAGGTGGCAGCCATCTCAAGCCAGAGGACGAGAGGACTCTAGCCGCCACGCATATAAAGGATTTATAGTGAAAAACTTTGTTTTTACGGTTTATACTTATTCAATCCTTTATATTAAGTTCGCTTGCGTGCTTGCTTGCTTACGACCGTGCAAATCTTTCGGTCGTTTTTTAACCCACTTCCCGTGATCCAATCGAGCTGACATTTTGCACACAGACTCGTTGTGCGTGACAATTAATGTTGGTGAAATTTTTTTTCCAAAATTTTACACTTTTTAGGGAAAAAAAATGTTCATATTTAATTTAAAATACCAATGTGATAAAAATGAAACTTTTTACTCAAGAAAAACAAAAATAAATAATAAAATAAAACCGATGCCACGCATATAAAAGATTTATAGTGAAAAACTTTGTTTTTACTGGTTAATTTTTTAAATCCTTTATATTAAGTTCACTTGCTTGCTTACGACCGTGCAAATCTTTCAGTCGTTTTTTAACCCACTTCCCGTGATCCAATCGAGCTGACATTTTGCACACAGACTCGTTGTGCGTGACAATTAATGTTGGTGAAAAAATGTTTCCTAAATTTTACAGTTGTTAGGACAAAAATATTATATTTTAATTACCAATTGCTTAATGGTGCAATGCAATCATCTGACCCATAGGTGGCAGCCATCTCAAGCCAGAGGACGAGAGGACTCTAGCCGCCACGCATATAAAGGATTTATAGTGAAAAACTTTGTTTTTACGGGTTATACTTGTTTCAAATTTTCTTGCTGTGGATTTCACACCTGATGATGATTGCTTGTGTTGCCGTCGAAACGTTGTGAGAATTTTTATTGTTTTATATTTATATTATTTTATTATTTCCCTTCTACGTGACTTTACCGAAAGAAGCAAGAATATGAATCTTTAATCCATCAATTCTCCGTCTTTTTCTTGGTTTTTTGGGTAAAGTCGCGAAGATAGAAAAAAATATATATATATAACAAATAATAAATAATAAAAATAATGTATTGAAAAGAATAAAAGCAAAAAACCACGATAAAAAAATTGTTAAATAAAACAAAAAATCAAAATAAATTGAAAATAATAAATTAAAAAATTCTCACGACGTTTCGACTGCAACACAAGCAATCATCATCAGGTGTGAAAACCACTGCAAAATTTTTTTGAAAAAGTGGCAGTTTATTCAAATTTTCTTGCCGTGGTTTTCACACCCGATGATGATTGCTTGTGTTGCAGTCGAAACGTCGTGAGAATTTTTATTGTTTAATATTATTTTATTATTTTATTATTTCCCTTCCACGTGACTTTACCGAAAGAACCATAGAGTATGAATCCCTGCAGTCACGAAAACTTCAAATCTAGATTTAAATACATTTTGTCCCCGAGTCCAAACTGTAAAACATATATATTGTTTTGATTTAAAGCTTTCGTGACTGCAGGGATTCATATTCTTGGTTCTTTCGGTAAAGTCACGTAGAAGGGAAATAATAAAATAATCAGGTGTGAAATCCACAGCAAGAATATTTTCTTGCTGTGGATTTCACACCTGATGATGATTTGCTTGTGTTGCAGTCGAAACGTCGTGAAAATTTTATTGTTTTATATTAATATTATTTTATTATTTCCCTTCTACGTGACTTTACTGAAAGAACCAAGAAAAAATTAACCCGTAAAAACAAAGTTTTTCACTATAAATCCTTTATATGCGTGGCGGCTAGAGTCCTCTCGTCCTCTGGCTTGAGATGGCTGCCACCTATGGGTCAGATGATTGCCTGCCACCATTAAGCAATTGGTAATTAAATATAAAAACATTTTTACTAAAAAGTGTAAAATTTTGGGGAAAAAATTTCACGAAAATAAATTGTCACGCACAACGAGTCTGTGTGCAAAATGTCAGCTCGATTGGATCACGGGAAGTGGGTTAAAAAACGACCGAAAGATTTGCACGGTCGTAAGCAAGCAAGCAAGCAAGTGAACTTAATATAAAGGATTTAAAAAATGGAGCTTCCCGAAGTACACGTTGCCCTGCCATGTTCGGACGGGTTTGAGAGCCTGTCAATAAAGCTCGCTATGTCCTGAGCTTAGAAGGTATCATCATCCTGCAAAATGCTGCCGCTACACCACCATAATGTATGTAATCATTTTGGCCCGTACAGTCGTATGTGTTGCAAGTGTGAATCACCTGTTTGGCAGAGGGTCATTTAAGCCTGCCTGAGCTAATGGCAAAAATGCACGGACTGATTCAATGGGCCCCATGTGAATCGCACCCTTTTTTTCTTCGCCCGCGCAAGAGGTTTTTTTCGTTGTGGCCGATGGAAATCAAACGTGCCGGGAATGCATCCGAGACGAAATCAAAGAGGGTGCCGTGGTGGCTAGGTGATGTTAACTGCCTCGCCTGGTGTGCAGGAGGTCGTGGGTTCGATTCCTACCCTGATGCCTGCTGTATATTTGAAGTTTGCGTGTCTCTCTCTCTGTCATCATCATCGTCGTGGCTAGGAGATGTTAACTGCCTCGCCTGGTATGCAGGAGGTCGTGGGTTCGATTCCGACCCTTGACGCCTGCTGTATATTTGGAGTTTGCGTGTCTCTCTCTCTCTCATCATCATCGCGGTGGCTAGGAAATGTTAACTGCCTTGCCTGGTATGCAGGAGGTCGTGGGTTCGATTCCAACCCTTGACGCCTGCTGTATATTTGGAGTTTGCGTGTCTCTCTCTCTCTCATCATCATCGCGGTGGCTAGGAGATGTTAACTACCTCGCCTGGTGTACAGGAGGTCGTGGGTTCGATTCCAACCCTTGACGCCTGCTGTATATTTGGAGTTTGCGTGTCTCTCTCTCATCATCATCGCGGTGGCTAGGAGATGGTAACTGCCTCGCCTGGTATGCAGGAGGTCGTGGGTTTGATCCCGACCCTGACGCCTGCTGTATATTTGGAGTTTGCGTGTGTCTCTCTCCCCCGTGGTCGCGTGAAATTTTTCTCCGGGTCCTCGGATTTTTTTTCCCCTCCTCATTTAGCAAAATGCATTTTAGAGTATTTGGCGGCTGCTATAAATTTCCACGTGATAAGCCACCTTGTTGAGATATCATTTGCGGCCACGTCGCTTCTGAAAAATATCTGTACAGCTCAGTGGCCACGTCGCTTCTGAAAACTATCTGTACAGCTCAGTGGGACCTTACCTGGTAAAATATCCATCTATATAAAAGGCAAAGTTGCAAATGTGTGTCTGTTCAAAATGTTTAGCGTACTTCCCGACATGCAACAAACTGCAAATTTGCCATGTGGGTACTTTCCAGACTGTACACCATGCAAACATTATTAAAATACACTTTTGTGTTATTTTAGGGGGGGGGAGCTCAATAATGCATTTATTTTTTGTACAGCAAGTGAGCTGTGACGTCAAATCTGTCACGTGACCCGCGCATGTGGAAGCGTAACGCGTTGTAGTGTAGTGGTTAGCGAAAAACTTTGTTTTTACGGGTTAATTTTTTTGTATCAAACACCACCCAATGCGTTCGTTTACCCGCGCCTTGCCTCCCGGCAAGAGCGAGCGGCCTCCTCCGTTCGAGTGTGACGTTGTCGTTGTTGCGGGGGCGTTCCAGTCGAGCCTATTTCGTTGTTCATGTTGTTGTTGTTGTGTCACTTGTGTGCTCCTTGTCTTGTCCCAGGCTCTGCTGCGCAGTCCCGCGGTCATGCAGACGTTGCGGGAGCACCAGCAGAAGTGCCTGCAGACCTTCGCCACCGACATGGATCCGCAGCCGTGACGGACGCTCACCGTCTGCATCGTTCGCTGGCGGCGGTGGCAGGCACGTACGCATGTTGTACGCATGTTGTACGCGTGTTGTACGCATGTTGTATGTAGTGGGGAGCGGCAGCATAGGCGGTTGGCAACCCCGCGCTCCGAGTCCCGCTCACGGCCACCAACGCCGTTGACGATTATCTGAACCGCTCCTGGGCCTCCCCTAGGTCGACTCGGCCTCAGATGAGTACCCGGCGCAGTGTGTAGTAAACATCGCCACTGGGGAGACAAAGGCGGTCGGGCGCGGTGCTGGCCTCCCACCCCCTCGTGTGCCGTGCCGGCCTTCATAGGTGCTACTCGCTAATAGCATTTGCCCCAACAGTCTGTTAAGGGCAGAGGTCGCAATCGGGTACCCGATACCCGTACCCTACCCGATACCCGGCTACCCGTACCCAGCCGGGTACAGGTACAGGTACCCGTTTGCGACCCTGGTGCGGCCGGGTACGGGTAGGCCGTGAGTCACTGGTGAGTCACCGTTTGTCACTCATTTCCCAACGTCTTGTCTCTTCTCACAATTCAAGTTGCTAGAATCAACCCACCCGCGCCTGCAACATGGCTTCATCCCAGAGGTCGCAATCGGGTACCCGTACCCTACCCGATACCCGGCCAGGTACGGGTAGCTGGGTATCGGGTACGGGTATCGGGTACCCGTTTGCGACCCTGGTGCGGCCGGGTACGGGTAAGGAATCAAAACCCGTTTGCGACCTCTGGTTAAGGGTGGTTTGTGTATGGTATGTATGTTGAACTTCTTGCACACCGTACGTAGCTAACCGCGCTAATCGGAGGTACGGGGGAAGGACAACGAACTAAACACAACAACAACAACGAGCAGTTCTAAATAAATGAGTTTCCGGTGGCTTCCTAATATCGGAAGGAAGAGCGTTCCAGACGGCCGCAGAAGCGCATCTGAAAGCGCCGCGCGATGCCGTGGCCACCGCCTTTGTTCGATGGCTGAAACAGAATCTGCGGTGACGACCAGAGTTCGCGTGGCGGTTTATGTTCCTTGACGAGATCGGCAAGGAAGCGTGGTTCATTTGTGGCGAGCGCGGTGCACATCGTGGCCAGCGTCGCCGCGTGTCGTGGCTCGTTTAGGGTCGGCCGTTGTTTTAAAGCAACTTCAGAATGAGAATCTTCACGTTCGCACTGGAGGAATCCGATGAGCTGTGAAGATATTTCTTTATAGATGTCCAGTGGTTTACGGATGTCCACTGGATGTCCACTCTAATGGAGCTTCCCATAGGGCCAGTTTGGCTTTACTCTTTCCCATTCCGATGACGCACACGCACGTCGCGAAAACGAAAGCGGAAAGAAAACTGCAGTAACTTCATCGGAACCGAGGCTCCCACAAGGCCGTGCGGGAGGGCCGCGTGGCAGAGTGTTGGCGCCGGCGATCGTAGAACGCCGGCGGTCGTGCCGCTACGGTTCTCTGCGGTGAGCGGCGATGTCTTTAAATAAACACAACGGCGCCGCTGCTACCACGCCTCTTTGAATCAAATGAACGCCGTGCCGCTTCCACCGTTCCGAGATTCAGCGGCGAGCGGGAAGTCTCGGAAGGGGAAAGGGTCAAGCCTCTTGTGACTGTGGAGGTGTAGTAGTAGGTTTTTACCCTTTCAACTGGTACAAAACTGACACCTTTATTACACAAGGCATCATGTTTGCAATAACCGCAACACAAGCAGTCAAAATGCAAACTAAAAGAAACAACTCTGATAATGGTAATGATATGCACTGTCCTTGAAGTTGATTGGTCCACACCCGAGACAGCTTTCCTTAGAGCCTAGTCTCCAAAAGGCGTCATCTGGTCCAACACCAATGGAGACTAGGCTCTAAGAAAAGCTGTCTCGGGTGTGGACCAATCAACTTCAAGGACAGTGCATATCATTATCGGAGTTGTTTCTTTTTGTTTGCATTTTGACTGCTTGTGTTGCGGTTATTGCAAACATGATGCCTTGTATAAAGGCGTCAGTTTTGTACCAGTTGAAAGGGTAAAAACCTATTACTATATTTTGCCGCTGGTAAAGGAGATGTCTCAAAGTCTAAATGTGGAGGTGCTCCGCGCACCTCCAACTGGCACGGTGGGTTGCGTACGGTGCGAAAGAAGTTCAACGCGCACACACACACACTGTCTTCATCTTCTTGGTTCTTTCGGTAAAGTCACGTAGAAGGGAAATAATAAAATAATAAAACATAATTTTATAATTCTCACGACGTTTCGGCCACAACACAAGCAGCCGTCCTCAGGTGAAGAACAGGTCTGTCGGAAAGACAGCGTCTGAATGAGACGCTGTCTTTCCGACAGACCTGTTCTTCTAAGAATAAAAACTCTTACTCAAGAAAAACTGAAATGAATAATAAAATAAAACCGATGCCACGCATATAAAGGATTTATAGTGAAAAACTTTGTTTTTACGGGTAAATTTTTAAAGACGTCGTTACACCGCAGAGAACTCCGGCGACGCGACCGCCGGCGCTGTACCGTGCCGCACGGCCTCGCTGGTGACGTACACGCTTGCATCATCGGAATGGTCGAGGGTGAATGGTCTTCTCAGGAGAAGAGGCGAGGGGGTTGATGCCCCAGTCTGTCGACCAGACACTCAGAAATGGTGCATCAGTGAGAGTGACCTTCTTTTTAGGTGTATGTCGTACATGTTTTAAGCGGTTGTGAGAAATTGCGCTTTGTCCAGGTTGATTGATGTTGAAACGAAACAAACATCGTAAGTTGCGTCTCTTCTCTGTGATGTACGCATTCTGGGTTCCTGAATAAAAAAGATTTTTGTTGAACGTTTGCGATGTGTTGAAAGTGTAAACTTCATGACGGCGGCTGGCGTGGCTTCATGTTGGAGTCAGCCACTCAACTAATTCTAGATTTGAAGCTTTCGTGACTGCAAGGATTCATATTCTTAGGTTTTTTCGGTAAAGTCACGTAGGTAAAAAAGCTGTTTCATTGATACAGCAATCGTGCTGTGACTGTTCCACCTGAAGACGGAAGCTTGTGTTGCCTCCGAAACGTCGTGATTTTTATTTTATTTTACTTTTATTAATTAAAAATGTTTACCTACGTGACTTTACCGAAAAAACCTAAGAATACCGCTCAAATAACTTTGTGTCCATACGGTAAAGTCACGTAGGTAAAAAATGTAATAAATTAAAATGAAAACAACGAAATTAAATCCCGACGTTTCGGAGGCAACACAAGCATCCGTCTTCAGGTGGAACCGCCAACAGCAAAATGACTAGTGAATGAAGACAGCTGTTTAGACTTTACCGAAAAAAACAAAAAGCATGGGTCCTTGCAGTCACGAAAACTTCAAATCTAGAACTCTGTGTCTGTGTGTCAAGATCCACTATCACCATAATAATAAAGAGTGGGTCATCCCTGCCCCTTCCCCCCCCCTCAACCATTATATATACGGAGTGGTATCTCTTGTAATCTCTCATTTACTTGATACAGCTGTCGTGGCTGTGACGGTTCCACCTGAAGACGGAAGCTTGTGTTGCTTCCGAAACGTCGTGATTTTTATTTTATTTTACTTTTATTAATTTGAATGTTTTACCTACGTGACTTTACCGGAAAAAAAAACCTAAGAATATGAATCCTTGCGGTTAAAATCTAGAATTATCACTAAGGAGTTCAGGACCTGTGGCTTCAGTGAAAATTTCTCTAAATCCTGAACTACGTAGCCCTCTTTCAGACACGATCTGGACCTCACAAATGACTGCCCAACGTAGTGACCACGACAGTTTCACGTTGAGGTGGTCAAAAGCCACCGATAATACCACACGCAGAGGAGGAGGAGGTGGAGCATCTGAGAGTCGTGCATCAACGCTGTAGCTACCCGGTGTGACGGCCGATTTGCAGTGCTATGGTAACTCAGTGGGGCCTTACCTGTTAACACATTCTCCTGCGGAGGGAGCTGGTAGGAACACGTTGGGTTGCTCGGTCAATGGCCTGCAGGGTCAACGGCGGCGTGGTGTATTCCGCAAATATGCCCGACTGTGAGGGCGAGCACAAGCCGGCGTGAGTAGGTTAACCGTTGAGTTTTATAAGGGCACCACGGGGTGACCAGCCCCTCCCCACCCAGCCCCACCCCCCACCCAGCCCCACCCTCCCCACCCAGCCTCTCCACACCCTCCCCACCCAGCCCCTCCCCACCCTCCCCTCCCCACCCAGCCCCACCCTCCCCACCCAGCCCCACCCTCCCCACCCAGCCCCTCCCCACCCTCCCCTCCCCACCCAGCCACACCCCACCCTCCCCACTCAGCCCCTCCCCACCCAGCACCTCCCCACCCAGCCCCTCCCCACCCTCCCCACCCTCCCCACCCAGCACCTCCCCACCCAGCCCCTCCCCACCCTCCCCTCCCACCCAGCCCCACCCTCCCCACCCAGCCCCTCCCTGCACGACGGACACAATAATCCCCTGTGGGCTGGTGTAACCAGGAGGTTCCTACCAGTATAATACAAATGTAAAGTGTGCAATGAATCAAGAGCCCTCTGGTAAATTGGCATGAAATGGACCTGGATCGGGGGTCCGGAATGCCTTTTTTGAACGCGGCGTAACTTTCATAATAATTCAAATTTAGAACGCGCATTCCATCCTAAGATCCCAATGCGCATTGGCATGGAAAGCAGAGAAACGAAAACATAACCAGGAGCAACCGAGTAATCTAAAGAGGGAAGGCCACTTTAAAGAAATGGGGTTTTCAAAGAAGACTTGAAATGTATCTGCCGAGTGATTGCTCCGATTTCCCTGGTTTCAAGTGGCAAAGCGTTTCCATGGCTTGGGTGACACGCTCATAAAAGCCAGATCGCCAAAAGAGTGCAATCTGTAAACCTGGGAGTGCTGAGCAGTTAGAGATAAGATGATACTAAGGACCTTGATAGAATATATAAATGTATTGGTTACTACAAGTGATGTGTGGTGGTCAGAGCTTTCAAAGCCTATAATTGGTTAATAGCAGCATCTTAAAATCCACTCGTAATTTGACGGGTAGCCGATGAACTGTAACTTACCCTCGCGATCCGAATCCATAAAACAGTTGTTAACACTCGCAAATTACAAGAATAGAAGAAACAAGTATAACCCGTAAAAACAAAGTTTTTCACTATAAATCCTTTATATGCGTGGCGGCTAGAGTCCTCTCGTCCTCTGGCTTGAGATGGCTGCCACCTATGGGTCAGATGATTGCATGCCACAATTAAGCAATTGGTAATTAAATATTATATTTTTGTCCTAAAAAGTGTAAAATTTTGGAGAAATTTTTTTTTCACGAACATTAATTGTCACGCACAACGAGTCTGTGTGGAAAATGTCAGCTCGATTGGATCACGGGAAGTGGGTTAAAAAACGACCGAAAGATTTGCACGGTCGTAAGCAAGCAAGCAAGCGTGCAAGTGAACTTAATATAAAGGATGTAAAAAACAAGTACGCTAATTGGATGTTTTACGGTGTCACATATTACGAATTCCTGTTTTACGCTCCGTAGATGCAGTTTCTTAGCAAGGTTGTCAATAGCGGAGAAAATATTATCACAAGTACACAGGCAATTCTAGATTTGAAGCTTTCGTGACTGCAAGGATTCATATTCTTAGGTTTTTTCGGTAAAGTCACGTAGGTAAAAAGATTAAAATTAATAAAAGTAAAATAAAAAAATTTAAGTTAATAAAAGTAAAATAAAAATATTTTTATTTTACTTTTATTAATTTTAATTTTTTACCTACGTGACTTTTATTTTACTAAAATTAATAAAAGTAAAATAAAAATATTTTTAGTTTACTTTTATTAATTTTCATTAAAAGTAAAATAAAAATATTTTTATTTTACTTTTATTAATTTTAATTTTTTACCTACGTGACTTTACCGAAAAAAACTAAGAATATAAACACAGGCAATTCTTCTTGAATGTCACCTTTTCAACTAAGCTCCCACCACACAATGGGGACTAAAACCTTACACAAATGAAGTGCTGTTGTATATTTATACCGCCTTTTATGCGCAGATTTTATTGTGTCGCGCTGTTTTAATCACCGTTTTTTTTATTTATACTAGTTCGTAAATTCTGTCTTCGCCAGGCAAACGTTTTGCAATAAATATGATAATGAACCTGATACAAGAATAATTTTATTATGTTTTATTTTTATTATTTTATTATTTCCATTCTACGTGACTTTACCGAAAGAACCAAGAAGATGAATCCCTGCAGTCACGAAAGCTTTACATCGAAATTTTATTGTGTTTTATTTTTATTATTTTATTATTTCCATTCTACGTGACTTTACCGAAAGAACCAAGAAGATGAATCCCTGCAGTCACGAAAGCTTTACATCGAAATTTTATAATGTTTTATTTTTATTCTTTTATTATTTCCCTTCTACGTGACTTTACCGAAAGAACCAAGAAGATGAATCCCTGCAGTCACGAAAGCTTTAAATCGAAATTTTATTGTGTTTTATTTTTATTATTTTATTATTTCCATTCTACGTGACTTTACCGAAAGAACCAAGAAGATGAATCCCTGCAGTCACGAAAGCTTTAAATCGAAATTTTATAATGTTTTATTTTTATTATTTTATTATTTCCATTCTACGTGACTTTACCGAAAGAACCAAGAAGATGAATCCCTGCAGTCACGAAAGCTTTACATCGAAATTTTATTGTGTTTTATTTTTATTCTTTTATTATTTCCCTTCTACGTGACTTTACCGAAAGAACCAAGAAGATGAATCCCTGCAGTCACGAAAGCTTTAAATCGAAATTTACTGATACAACTCTGTTTTCCAATTTGTTATCTACGAACAGACACTAATAACTCTTCCAAAAATTTGCATTTTTCCACGAAACTAAAATTGTTGACGACTTGACTCAACGTCTTATGTTTAAAGACGTACCAATCGTAAACCGCTCAATTGAAAGAGTCAGTTTTTTTTATTTGAAAGAACAAAAATTCATTAACTTAATACTCTTAAGAGGAAGCTCTTTTATTTCTTACCGTTTTCTAACTATTCAAAATTTGAGCATCATAAAATGCGGATTGTTTCGTTCTAACCCACTCGAACCCCAAATATCTCAAAAACAATAAAAGATAGAACAATGGTCTTCGCTTTAATATGATTCGCTGTTTAACGCATCAAACAAAAAACCCCGCAATCTTATATTTTGAACAGTTCCCGAATGACACCAGGCACCAACATGTTCATGGTGCACTTAAAATCGAGATTTGAGGGCCTTAAAATGACAAATCTCGGATTCAGATTGTTCTTGTTGTTTGTATCCTAAAAGCTACCAACGTACCAAATGTCATCTTTCTACCCTGTCGCGAAGTACCCTAGAGGATTTTTGAGCCATACCGATTAAGGTCTTTATTTATATCGATTCTGTTTAATGTTGCACAAGCCACTACACTTGAGGCCCTTTCCACACTTTCATAAAAAACGAACTCACTACATAACTTTCCTTTATGTTGGCAGCTTCTGGTGCTAATGCCACCCCCCCCCCCCTTTCAAAAAACAATAATCAAATGTGCCATCACTAACAGCCCATGGAGTGGACAGCTCAAGTGAATGGGCTTCTTTGTGTTTCTCTCTCTCTCTCGGAGTTGCTTTTTTCGGGCACCAATTAATCACCGCGTGTCTTTTTTTTTTTATAATCTTGGGAGCGCGGTGGGTGAGGTAGCCAAAATATTTACGCCTTCCCCAAGCGGGCGTTTACGTTGGGAAATCTGAACACACTGGGGGGGCCCTTGGGAGAAATTTTGCCAATTGCTGTTTTTTTTCCTTGCTGGCCCTC